AGCTCCTGTGGATGTGAGGGTTGGCTCTCCAATCAGCCATCCTGGTGATGGGTGGGATTGATTTGAAGCATCTGTGTGGCTACACAGGCATTTTCTTCCTGACTTGGTGCTCCATGTGCCACTAGCTGAGCAGAAAGACTTTTCCAAGTGGAGAAGTGATGAGCTCCAGGGAGGGTGGGTGATGGGTGATGCCCATCGCTGCAGCTCGGCCGAATCCTGCTGTCATAATTCACACTATCATTATCTCCTTTGGTTTCCACACAGCCTTGGGATGAAGGCAGGACAGAGAATGCCTTTATTTCATAGGAGACAGAGGTCAGCCTTTTGCCGTTAAGTGGCCCAGACCACTCACCTTCAGGAGGGTTGGCCGGGGTGCAGGGAGGTGGCAGGGTATTTCTTTTTCTCATGTGAGGTTAGTGTGTGACATAGGCCTCAGCTCTAGCCAGATGAGTTGGCAACTCAGATATTAGGATTCAGACAGATGAGAATTAGGGGAAAGAAAGTTTAATAACGCCCATGAAGGATCATTTTGCAAAGGGGAAGGATCTTCTCTTTTCTTTCTACCCAGAATGTGAAACTGAATGGCAGCAGTAACATTCCAGTTAGGACCAGGGAAGAATTCTAGAACATGAGGACTCCTGATGCAGTTTTTCTTCCCTTTGACATACAACCTTGTGGGGGTGGTTGGTGGTTTAGCACTGGTTCTGCAGAGACCTGTCAGCCACTCTACCTTTCCTTTCTCACTCTTGAGGCTTCTTTTTGCTGAATAGTAGAGTGGGGTTCATAGTAATAACCTGGAAAAAGGGCCAGTGATTTTCTAGCCCTCCTGAGTCTCCTCTGATAGTGAAAGGTTTTCCTCCTGCTCCTCACCTCGCATCTCCTCCTCCTGCGCCCCTTTAACTGTCTTCCACCTAAAAAGAGCTCAGCTGTGCACATGTGCTTGTTAGGACCGAGAACCCTGATTTGTACACTTGTACCCGATAGAGGTGTGGGATTGCTTGCTCTCCTGGCCTATGGTTCTCGGGGACTTCTAGGTGCAAGACCCTAAGGTTGAGTGTGAGGCATTAAATAAGTTCAAGGCAGTCCCTTAGTTCACCGTCATCTTTCACCTCATTCACTACAGCAGCCTTCTAGTTGGTCAACCGGCCTTCTATTTTGTTCCTTCACCCCTAAACCATTCTCTATTCTGTAGCTATTGTGATCTCTTTCCAAGTATAAATCTGATGAATCCCTCACCTGCTTAAAATCTGCCAGAGCTCCCCATTGCTCTCAGAGTGAAGTCTAAACTCCTTAGCAGGGCTCACAAGGCCCTCAGGTGCTCCAGACCCTGCCCACACCTCCAGCCTCGTCTCCCCATCCCTCCCTTCGCTTCAGCGCGTCTGCCGAGCTCAGCTTCTTATGGGCCCCCGACCAGGTCATGTCCTTTCTTACCTCCGGACCTTTGCATACACCACTCTCTGCCTGGAATAGCCTCCCCTCGTACTCACTTCTCTTCTGTGTAAGTAGGTTTCTCTCTCCAGATCGCATTTTAGATCAGTGGTTCTTAACCATCATGAGTCAATCTGATGAAAACAATGGACTCTCTCTACAAAAAGCAATTACGTGCTCCTGTGTGCTCATCATTTCGAATACAGTTCAGGGTACAGGAATCCCTGCTTAAGACCCTTCTAGGCTGAGCCCCCCTTTCTGGCATTTAACACACTGTAATTGCTGGTTTGCGTGTCTCTCTCCTCCTACTAAACTTAGCGCTCTGAGGGCAGGGCTGTGTTTTGCTCTGCCTCGTGTCCTCCGAGCCTAGCATATGCTTGGCACACGGGGTCTGTTGGACACAAGTTTATTGAATGAATGAGTGAGTGAGTGAGTGAGTGAGTGAGTGAGTGAATCAACAAATGTCTGCCCTTGAGTGGATCATGCTCTGTTTGGAGGACTAGGACATGCATGTTAACAGGTGACAAGCAGAAGGTGGAAGGGGCTAAAAAGATGTGCGGCCAACAGACATTTCCTGAAACTTCCGAGTCTGAGGCGGCTGGGCTGCGCCTCTGGGGAAAAGCCAGGAGAGGAAGCCTCTTGGGTTGACTTTGAAGATAGAAGTGCTTGCAGGGCTCATGTTCTGTTTCCTAGAAATACTCTGTTGAAGTAGTGGAGGGGAGCAAAGAAGCAAGGACCAAGCCTGCGATGGCTTCTGACCCGCAGGAAGTCCCGGAGTCCACGGAATTGTGAGACACCAGCAGAAAGCCTGTCTTCCTCCTCTCTTTCCTTGTTCCAACAAGCATTTTTAGGTGACCGTTATGTGCCACACACTTCGTTAGGTGTTGAGGATATCTTCAAAAATAAGCTTGACAAGATCCCATCCCTCTTGGTTCTTGCTTGCTAGGTATTAAGTACTAAGTTGTCCTCAGAATTTGGACCAAGGGCTTGTTTGGAATACGTTTATTAAGGCCATCAGTTAGGGTTAGGTTTAAATTATAGAGGGACTTATTAGAAATGACATGAGATCTAGAGTCAGGCCAAGATTCAGATCCTAGCCTCTGACTAGCTATGTGCATATACCTCTTGAAATGCTAATTCCATAATTTATAAAGTGGAGGTAATCTATCTCCTGAGGCTGTTACAAGGATTAAATGAATTAATGTGTATAAACCCTTAGCAGGGGGCCTCACACATAGTAGCCACTATTATTACTGCCCCTTTCAGGGGCTGTTTAAGCTGAAGTCTTAGTTTTTGCAGTAATTCTGTTGGTCCATAAGAGATAAGATTGGATTTTAGAAGTCTGTGACTTACACAGATCTCCAATTTCTTTAAGGGAACTTTCTTAGAAAATAAATATTATCTTTGAGGCCCTGGTTTTACTTTCTACATTTTTTTTGGGTTGCTTATTGAAGTTTTAAGTACTTAATGTAGAAAATCAGTAACTTCAGAATCACGTTAAAGAAGCAAAAAACAAAAAGTCTTGTAAGTTCCACCATCTAGAAAACAGTCTGGACATTTGAGGCTGATAAAAATGATTTGTCACCCCCCCGGAAATTCAGACTTTTGCCCATCTATATAGATATTTTCATACAATTTCAGTAATTTCCACTTGTTTACCTCAAAGTTACAAAGCCTTAACCTGATTCCCAAGCACAAATTTCAGAGAGAGTAAAAATCAGGCCAGGCTCTGATTTCACACTGGCACTTGGGCTTCTGAATCGCTTGGTTCCTGCAGTCAGGTTGCTCTTTTTTGTTTTTTTTCTCCTAAGCCTTTACAACATAATTGCCAACTGGACTCTGATTTCCTTGCGGGTATGTTTTTGTTTGTGTGTTTTGGAGCAAATGAGAGAGATTGTGAGAGTCTGTCTGTGCGTAGAGAAATCCGTCATCTTTCCTGTTTCCTCTTTGCCCCTTCATCCTGCTTTGGGGCGGGTGGCCTTTTGACTGGCTTCCAGAGCCATCAGAGAGGAGAGAGAACAAAGTGAAGGGTCCCTGGTCTGCCTGATCTAGCAGTGAAGGGAGCAGGTGGGTTTGGGATGGTTTTCCCCTCTCCTCCCTGTTCCAGAGTCATTCATATTAGCCCTCTGACGGGGCGGGAGCTGTGCACTGGCGGAGGAATCATGTGCAGCCCTGTGGGCTGGAGGTGGGCGTCTGCACCCACGTGCTGCACTGTACTTGTTGTCTTGGCTCTAGGGTACAAATTCCAGAGAGAAAACAACCTCCCAGGCTGTGTTTTCACGCTCACACGAGGGCTTCTGAACCCCTGTTTCTTGCAGTCAGGTTGCCCTTTATTTCAGTCTACAAAGTCACATGTCTTCCCCCTTTCCCTTCTGAAACCAGCAGGCCTTGTTGGCTGAGCCCGGCTCTAGGCGGACCTTTTCTCTGCGTAGAGAGGGTTTGCTGAAGTTAAGGGCCTCAGGACCGTGCAGACGTGCTGCTGCTGCGCTAGTTCCCAGGCCTGTGTCCTCTCTCTCATGGATCATTACCAGGCCTCCCAGCTGTCCTCCCTGCCTCTGATCCAGCTTCACGCATACATCCCAAATTTCACTCAAAACATCCACCTGTTGATGTAATTCCCTTCTTTAAACCCTCCCAATGGTGCTACTCTTAGTATAAAATCCAAATTCATTTGCATGGCTCGCAGGGTTCTGTGCGTCACAAATCCTGGCCCCTGCTGCCTCTTAGCTTCCTTCCTTCCTCACTGTTACCCTAGGTACCGGCCACACCAGCCTCTCAGCTCCCAGTATTTGTCCTTTTGGCACGTTCCTCTCTTTACTCTTATGGTTGCTGCACCCAGCTCATCTTTCCTCATTCTCGCTACCTGTCGCACACTATTCTCTAATACCCAGCTCAAAAGTGACCTACTTGGATGCCTTCCTGGATTCCCCGGGCAAGGTTCCTTGCTCTACTTTCCGCATTCTTGGTTACAAGTGTAGGCTCTGCAGCCAGAATCCTTGGTTTCAAACCCAGCCAGGCCCCTTCCTAGATTTGCCTCAGTTTCTTTATCTGTAAAATGGGATTAATATTAATAAACCTCATAGGTTCTGAAGATTAAAAAGTGCCTAAAACAATGCTTGGCCATAGTTAGCAATTAATGTAACTTTTTATTGTCGTTATCATGGTTACTTTGTGTTATATACCTCTACTAGCTCTTACCACCTCCGTTTATAAATATTTTTGTAAATCGGCCCTACTAGACTAGACCATGTGCTTTTTGAGGGCAGGTGCATATCTTTTTCACTTTTTCTGGCTGCCTGTGTAGAAGTTTATAGTAAATGTCGGTTGAATAAGTTATTGTACACAGATTTGCCTTCAAAATGGAAATGGGCATCAGATAGAGTGGGGAGTGCTTAAAGTCGGGTTTATGGATGACCATAGACCTAGAGTTGATGTGACCCGATGTCAGCTGGAGACCTTCCAGAGTGCAGCCAGTGCTTTTATGTTATCCAGACGAAGCAGGAGGCCATGTGAAAGTTAAGCATACTGTAGGTGCCAGGTTCATGTCCATTTTGTTTTGTTTTGAACTGTAGGTGACATGTCTGAGAGTAAAGCCAAGAAGATTGAAATCAAGGACGTGGACGGCCGGACACTGAGTAAGCTGATTGACTATATCTACACGGCCGAAATTGAGGTGACCGAGGAGAACGTTCAGGTAAACTGAGACCCAGCCAATAGCTCAGTGTGTTGCACACTCCGGGCCCACCATTTTATAGCGTCCTTTCATTTAACCCTCACGACAACTTAGTTGGTAACTGTAGGAAACCAAAGTTCCAAAGAGGTCAGGCGATTTGCCCTGGGCCGCAGCACTAGTAGGTGGATGACTGACCCTCACACTGTGCCTGCCTGACCACAGCACCCACACTCCTCCCCACTAGGCCATCAGACCTTGGAGTGAGCTGGGGCCCCGAGCAAAGTCTTTCACTCATGTTGGTTCACACTCTTGGTGAAGGAAGAACTAAAAGCCTGGGTGACTGCTTCTCCCCAGTCACCATCTCATCTCAGGGATTTTGAGTATTGGATCGCGAGGCTGTTAAAGACGTTTTCCTGTTTCAGTATCAGTCAGTTGAATGCCTCTGCGCGCCTGGAGGTGCCAAGCACCAGGCCCGAGTCGCGGCGGGGTGCGGGCTGTGATAGGTGGTGTCTGTGCTTCTTCCCCCTTCCACTGCTCTGCCATCTGGAGCCTTGAAAAAATGAGTTAGCGAAGATGCTGCTTCACCTGAAGGCACGTCCGTACTGTGAGGATGCGAGGCCTCAGTCGGGCAGATGGCTGCAGGCGTGGCCCACTCTGTAACCCTCCAAATCGCCGCTCAACAGGGACACAGGATACACTATTTCTTGTCATTAAGGATCTTACTCCTTATTTAAAGTGCTGGAGATTTCATGTGATATGCAGGATTTTTCTTTTCTTTATTTAAAAGCATAATTCCGCATAATTTATTGTGACACAGACGCCTCTCTAGTGACCAGAATACCTGCGACCCTTACCCAGGATGCACCTCCTTTTCCAGGATTGAGGTGTTTGAGGCAGAATTGATAGTCATTTATTCGTTCAGTTCAGCCCAAGTGCTTGAGTGCCTTTTATATGCCACGCACTTTGTTGGACAGTGTGGGCAACAGTGAGCAATGCCAATTCCATTGCCTGCTCTCATGGAGTTGTGGTCTAGGGGTGAAGACAGGCGCTCATCAAGTAAGCTCACAGCAGTAGTTATGCACACATTGTGGTTAAGTCCTTCAAAGGAAAGGAACATGGCACACAATGAGAAAGTGTGTCAAGGGGACTCAGTTTAGGTGGAAGAGGGGACCTGCAAGGGCTCTTTCAGGAGATGAGATTTAACCTGAGGCCTGGAAATGAGCGGGAGTTAGCTGGGTGGTGAAGGGTACTCATAGGTGGGGAGGAGGGACTGAGGCACACTGCATTTGGGCCTGCAGAGCCTGCCCCACGATGGAGCCTGCCTTTGTCTCCGGTCCCTGGACAGACTTGGGTTGTATAGTGATCTGGTCTAATCCTCCCCCC